CGTACAAAATAAATAAATATATAATCAAAACAAAAATATATATAACAAAAAATATACATAACAAAATATATTTAATAATTAGATATATATATAAATATATTTATTCAATTTACAAAATTTTTATTTATATATAACATCAAAATTATATACTTCGTATATACCACCAAATATAATAGCAAACAAAACAACAGCGAAAATTACAAATCTAATTTTTTTATTTTCGCCTTTTATTCTCCTTTCCAATTTGTTTTAATTTATAATTTCTTTATTTTTTATCCATAGAATTTTTATCCCATATTATTAAAAAATCTACCATAAAATTCATATTTACCAATAAATTACCTAATTAATTATTTTTTAATAATATTATTTCTTATTTTCCTTATTCTTATAAATACATAATTATATATTTTTTATTTTTCCTAATAATATATTATATAATTGTTTTCATTATTACCAAAAATTTAAAAATAAAATAAATTATTAAAAAAATAATTTTATAAAATAATTTAAATAATATAATTTAATTAAAAAATATATTTTAATATATATTTTATATAAATTATCCTAATTATATTATTATTTTTTTTTAAAAAAATAATATTTTTTTTATAAAATAATTTACCACATATAAAATTCAATTCAAAAATAATATATTAAAATCAATATAAATAAATATATTTAAATAATAATATTATTTATTATTTAAAAATATAAAAATAATACCTTATAAAATTTTTATTATATAAATTAAATTATTTTTTAAAAATAATTAATTAAATATAAACCTATAAAAACCAACAATATATTTTTTACCCAAAATATAATTATATTTCCTCATAATTAAAAAAATAAAAATCATTATTTTATTTAAAAAAATATTTATTTTATAACAAATTAAAAATATATATATATATAAATTAATTTTATTAATTCTATAAATAAGATTTTATTTTTAAATATTATTATAAATAAAAAACAATAATAATTTAAAAAATAAATATAATTATTTTATATTCATTATAATTAAATTTAAATATTTAATAAATTTTATTAAATAATTTATTTTATAATTTATAAATAAGAATTACAAAATTATTTAATTTTAATTTTCTAATTAAATAAATAAATTATAATTATAATTATTGTATATTGTATTGCATTGCGCTGCAGCTATAGTTTCATTTCATTAAAATTCCAACCAAAATTACCCTATACCATACTGCATCCAGCAATTATGGGTGAGGTAACCACTACAACCACTACAATTTTTTCAAAAAAATATAACTCCGACCACCTTTTGGTCCATCAATAAATTCGCTCTGCCATCCATGTATCACAACAATTTATGTCTTATTTTTGAAATTTCCGCCACCGCCTACTAGTAAAAATCATATCGTGGATATAATATATATATATAGATATAAAATTATAATAACAGATTTAAAATTATAATAATGTAGAATAACACTTTTATTTGTTATAATATAAATAGGAATCAGGTATCGAAACAATAATGAAAAATAAATCAGGACCGAATGGCATGGCAAGAACAAACGCCCTTTAAAAAACAAGGCATCTATTGAGCGAATAAGTAGGAAAGTACCCGCACCAGTACCTGAACGCAACGCAATGGCCAATTGAATCCGCGTATATAGGAAACTTGGCAAGCCAGCAGCGGCGAAGAGAACGGTGGTCATCTTTCCTGCGCTTATACTATTTTACATCATCTATATGGATTTTGAGCGGCACAAATTGGTTGCAATCGATAAAGCACAACCTCAGGATCTGTGGGCAAACAAAAAATGAACATCTACATGCACCTACATCGTCAACCACAGTTGGAGTCTGAGATCCCCGCACAAGGTGCTCCTCTTTCAAGAGTTGGTCTGAATTCATGGTTCCGAAGAACAAGCTTCAGCCAAGATCTTTGCATGCTGCTAATCAGCTAATCTGTCTCATGCTGGCTTTCTCACTGAAAGAAGTCTGGCTTCTTCGCTGGGTGCAATGCGGAGGTGGCAAGCGGAAGGTGCGGAAAGCGGGCAGGACCTGCAAAGCCGCAAGGTGCCAAAGAAACCCTTCCGCACCAAAGACTTGCTGCAACTCTCATCTCGTGAGATATCCAATCTCACTGGTTCGACCCCATTGTTGGCTCAACAAGCTTCGAGTACTTTGGTGTCCCTCCTCCAGCTTGCCTGCTCAAGAAAGCTTTCCAAAACCTGACAGTGAAGGTTGTCGGGCAAAGGCCCGAGCATTGCCCATCAGGCAAGATACTAGCGCGACAAAATCATAAAAGAGTCTTTCCCAGTCTGTCCTGAATTCTTTCTACCACGATATTCTCAGATGCAAGGCGGTTGACTGTACACTTGCCGGCTCTGAGCCCCACCTCTGCACAAGTCCGGAAAAGGCAAGACGTTTAATTTATCAAAAATGAGATTTCTCTCCAATGTGAAACGACCACAACATGTGTTGCACACGAGTCCGCTGAACTATGGAGATGGACTGGGAATCTCGGACGGTGGCCGCCCAATTGCACCGAAAGTCTAGGAACCGCCCAGCATGTTGACAAACCAGTTGTCGTAATCATAATCGTCCATTTCGTCTTTTAGGGGCTGCGTGAGGACCACTGCAATCCATTCCACTCCAAGGAGAACAACTCCAAGACCTCCCACCAAGATCTTGAATCCCAGTCCTGTCTGCCAAAGCTCATGAGGATTAAGGTCCTGGTTAATTTAGGATGCTGCATTTTAATGAATGAATTGCACCCAAGTAAAATATGCCCCTCACATAGATTGGCATGTTGTGCAAATTGAAACTTATCTTGGATGTCTGAACAGTTCAAAGGCTTCAAATCGACTGTTATCATGACGCAAAAGGTCTGCCTCTGTAAATTTAGCTTCACGCTCGCAAGAAGTTCTACAGGATAAGCTTTCACGCCTCAAGTGGTTGACTTTTCAAGAAGAGGCTGGTATGGCTCCTGGAACAGCAACACAGCAAGCTCCAGTAATAGCAGCTGTTGCAAGCATTGTCGCCGATGAAGTTGCCAGCCATGGATAGAACTCGCGGTCTCTCCAACCAGCACGTCGTTTCCACATGTTTTTCGCCATGTTGACTTTCAAGGTCTCAAACACCGCCGCAAAGCTGGATAAAATACATGGCTGCATGTTGTATTGGATGCACATCTTCACAAAGGTAATTGTATATAGTATATTATAGTATATGCTGTAACATACCGCGTTCCTTGCAGCTCTTCTAGTACAATATGCTGCAATAAGCCCATAACATTCAACTCAATCCCAAAAGGTTATTAACCTGCAGTTTGAAGAAGCCTTGCCTCTGGAGCGCGAAGCTCCTGTGAAAGCATGACGGTCGCGCGGAAAGCAGGACCTCGTCATCAATACTGGGCTTGTGGAAATAGCTCTTGGCACCTTTGGTGTAGCCAAGAGAAATATAAGTTTGTTTTGTTTCCATAATCGAAATACATAAAACTTGGGGTTTGACCAGCAGGAAAAGACATTTTGAGACCCCAAACAGTTTTTAGCAACTTAGCACAATGACTTCTCGGAAGAGGCTTCAAGTTAGGATAGTTGGGCCACTTTCTAAGAGCGGAGAGTATAATTGCGGATTAGGGAGAAAGCAACAGGGCGCACACAGAAGAGTACCACAAACAAAAAGAAGCAAAAAAAACTAAAACGCCGTTGTGGATCGTTGTGGCACATGTGCCGCACTCAAGGGGCAACATCTTTGCATCGGGATCTGTGAACTATATAAAGGTGGGATCACATGGTGAATCAACGAAAAAAACATGTGAGAACCTACTAAGACCCCCAGAAGATATCATCAGATTCAGAGCTGGAGAGGTGGCACATGAAACTCACAACAGGCTGGGTTCCCTCCAAGACGCAAGACGGACATGCTGACATGCAGCCCAAATGCTTTCTGGTTCGCAACAAAGTGATTTCACCACAGAAGCCTCAGGCATCATTCTTTGCTTTGGAAGCGAACACACCTACCCTCTGGTAAACTAACATAACTATGGGAAATCACCATTTTTAATGGGAATATCCACTATAAATGGTCATGTTCAATAGCTACGTTAAATTACCAGAGGGTATATACAATTGCTGCTGCCGCCAAACGATGCCAAACCAAGAACCAGGCCAGCGCTGCAGCTCCATCCAAAGAGTACAAGCCTGGTTTGCCAAGCATTTGGTGCTGCTCTGGAACGTTGCTGCAAACGAATGTGGTCAAACGATTTTTTCCCCAAGACTTTGTAAACCGGAAACGGCTTCATCACTTTCACATTCTCTTTTCACCGTTTGAAATAATACAGTAAAACCATACAAAACCAGTTTTTCATCGCAGCTCTAGGCTAAACTGAACTTCAACAGCTAAGGCAGCGTCAATCCGCTGCGAGGATCACCTTGCGAGCAATGTGAGGCTGGCTTGCGAAGTCAATTTGAACAATTGCCAACGGGATACACTCAATCAAGCAAATAATGCAAAGAGATCTATGTGGCGCCCATGGGCACCAGCAATCAATCAGAATGCAGATGTTTCCCGGGAGGACCGAGGTAGTGTGCCTCGTAGGGTTTCCCATCAACCTGCTCTAGTTCCAGAGGCCTGAAGCTAATGTAGGCAAATCAGCTCAGAGATGCTTCACAAATGGGGATGGGTCAAAACCTTGTACCCCTGGTGAACCCCAAAATAGCTGGTAAATGGATGTTCATCCCACTAAAAATGGTATTACAGTAATAGGTATTGATCCATACCCAAATCTTTCAATATTTTAAATGGTGACTGGATGTGGAACGCTTGGCTGACATGAGCACTGTTGCTCAGTCTCGGCACATTTCTGAGCTCTGCGCTCACTCCAATCAAGATATTCTGCATGGGGACATTCCAAACGGCCGGTAGCTCCCATATCTACTGCCTTGGCAATGTCTTTTGACAAGACTTGCAAAATATAGACCTCCAGAAAGCAAGAACCCAGTAGAAAAGAAGCGATGTGGCCAGGAAGCTCTTTTTTGTCTGAGTCAACGGCAGAGGCTGCAACCTTTCCTTTTCTGCGAGGCCTTGAAGCTCAGTAGCTTACATGAGTTCCCACCTTTGACTAGCAAATGCTAGCTGCTAGATGTCAAGTGCCTTGAACAGAACAAAGCATCATGGACCAAATTCTTTGGACATTGCAATGTGCCAGTACCAGTCCCCCCTTGATGCCGGTTCCGCCTTTGCTCTGAACTTCGGCAATGTTCAGCAGCAAAGTCTTTGACATTGCGTTCCAGCCTAACCAATAAAAAATGTCGCCAGATGTCGCCAGCCAAGTCTATCTAGTTGGAAAATCTCCAACAACAAGGCGGTGATCTAAGCTGCAGTCAGGGACAGCGTCTCTTCTCTGTCTGTCACTGTTACCTGCTTTCATAGGAACAAGAAATTACTGGAAATGTTGTGACTTGCTACATTGTCTTGGGCAAGCATCTGCATGCATCTGCGAAAAATCCTTACACTAGCAGTGTGCTCAACAAGAAATAATTCAGAAGCCATGACATGCTTTTGGGATCAACTGGTATCTAAGTAAATAGAACGAGGGCAATCACGGCATGACTTCGGAGATTCGTAGGTGTCCGACAAGTCCCCCCAAGGCTGCAGCGGCTAATCCTGCAAGGCCACAACCTGCATGTCATGCTCATGCCCAGCAAGTCGGCCATCACACCAGTGATGTTGTTGCTGCTGCTGTTGCTGTTGTTGTCGTCGTTGCTGTTGTTCTGCCCAACAAAAAACAACTTCGCACTCAAGTCACGGACACTTGTGATCTCCGTGACTAGTGATACCTGCCTCCAAAGTTCCATGTGTTTGTCTTCACTAGTCTTCACTCGAGCTTCTGGTGTTTCGGTGTTTCATCAGACACAGATACCATCTGGTAAACTAACAGTTTGCTATTGAAAATGGCCATTTATAGTGAGTTTTCCCATTAAACATGGTGATTTTCCATAGTTTTTTGTATGTTTGCCAGAGGGTAAAGCCTTTGGGATTTGGGCCCCAATGCCTGCTCCGAGCTCAAGACATTTCCGGCCGTGCACTGCATCTTGCACAGCCTCGACGAGAAATACGAGAAACATCGAGCTCTTTTTGAAATCTGCGAAATCTGCACGAAACCATAAAACTTCCAGCAGAAAATGGTGATTATATGGTGACAAAATATGGTGATTTAGTGGTGATTATATGGTGATTATATGGTGAACCAAAAGGATCCAACAAGTGTGAAACAATTCTGAACATATTCAAACACAATGTGTGAAATCATGTGAAATCTCTGCACCGCCGGGCTGACCTGAACTCCCACTTCAGTCTTGGAACCACTTCGCAGCTCTTCAGCCCACTCCAAATAACGTGCCAAGACCACTGCAGCATCCCACACACAGCATCCAGTCACACCAAGCTCCCCTTGTCTGGCACGATTTTGCGCAATTCGGATACTTCGACCTGCTACTTGGCAAAGCAAGTAGTCAGAGTTATGGTCATCAAATCGATGCCGCGCATCTGCAGTATCAGGTAGCGCAGCCCAAGTCACCAGAGTTTCCGCAGCAGCATCTCGGACACGCTTCTCTGGCAGAGACTCATCGTCGGATGAGGAGACTTCCATACGTTCCATACAAGTCACGCCATGGAGCTTTTTGGATGTCGATGAGGTAAGGCACACTTTGCGGCGCGCGTGATTGATTTTCAATGAAGTTTCAATTTGGGATAACGCACAATGGCAGGAGGAAACTTCCAATGAAAGCATTGGTTCAAAGAACTGTGGTGCACGATATGGATGCATTCAGTACTTGGCTTCAATCAGGAACATAGAAAGTTAGCCACAACTCTGTATTCAAAGCCCACCAGCGGATGAGGTATCTATCACTAGCATCGTGCATCCAATGCTGTATTCAAACTTGGAGTCCGCCTGACGCAGCTGCCGTGAAGAAGGCCCTAAAAGGAGCTGAAGTTTTTAGATAACTTCAATAGATCCGAGATGATCCGAACATGGGAAGCATGGCGGATGAAAGGGAATAGTCTCTGGTTATGTCAAAATAGCTATTGAAAATGGCCATTAATAGTGGATTTACCCATTAAAAATGGTGATTTTCCATAGTTACGTTAAATTACCAGAGGGTAGTCTCGGAAAGACTTTGTGCGATTTGAAGACTTTTTCTTACTCTACAAACTGCCGAGTCGGGGCTGTCTTGCTGCAGCCCTCTCACCCAATATGCCACATGCACTTGGGGATCACATTACCTGCACTGGATATGATTCTGTACATACATCTTGGAAACACCATTGTGCTCACAGCATCCACTCAAAAGAACTCAATTGAGTCCCTCCTCTGGCAAGACCCAACAAGCAAAGATCTCTCCTTGTCCTCAGAGTGGGAAACTTCACATCAAGGAGTGGACACCGATGAACCCGTTCCTCTTTTTGCTGACTCAAACCACAATAAAAGTCATCAGGAATGCAGTCAAGATTCCTATGAAGCTTTATTTTGGGACAGGAATTCCATCTCAGCTTCCTTTGTCAAGAATGCACTACGGCCACCTGCGAAGACGAGTGACAAGTTGACTCTTGAGACTTGGGACCACCTTTCCAGTTTGAGAAGGAAAGCTTCGAAGGATAGAGGGAAAAACCATTGGGGGCTTGCCATGGCTTGCCATGGCTTGCCATGGCTTGCCATGGCCATGGCAAGCGCCTGCTTGCCAGCCCTTCACCAGGACTTCAGGATCCTTGGCGGCTAAAGAGTGACCATCTCAGACCTTCTCACAGCATTGCCGAGAATGTTCAGGAATATTCTTATTGAATCTTATTGATCTCACTACAGTCACCCAGCAATCAATAGCAATCATACACTTTTTGACTCCCGGCATGAACTTCTTTGCTAATTTAACTGACTGTAAAAAGGATGACATGTTTTGAGGATCTTCGAGGATAGGCTGTACAACCTGTACTCAGGGCAGGACAAGACCTTGAAAACGGGCAAGCTCTCCTGACCAAAGGCACCAAAGGCACCAAAGGCACTGGTCAGAAAATGTGGCAGTGTGTCAAAACCTTGTACCCCTGTAGTTCACATCAAAATAGCTGGTAAATGGATGTTCATCCCCCTAAAAATGGTATTAATAGGTATTGATTCATAGCCATGTGGCAGAAAATATTCACCAAGCCTCAACTCTGAGCCATTCAACAGTTCAACACGCTTATAGCACCATCCAGGGACCATCCATATATCTCACATGGCCTCTCCAAGGCTGGAGACCAGTGCTTGCCCAGATGACAAGGGCAACGGAAAAAGTCGCTCCAAGTGCACCACCAGCCTGAAGTGATTGAGATATTTGCGATGATGAAGATAAGGTGGAGATACGGGAAATGATTCAAATGTGAAATGATGGGGTCGAGTTGTACAATAGTAGTTCAATCATTTCTCGAGTCGAGGAAGGACCGGGCTTGGAAGGGAGATGTCTGCTCTGAACACCTGAACTTTATTTTCCCGGCCACTGTACACTGTACACTGAAAGGCCTCCAAATGGCTCCTCTTGAAGGAGATTTCGGAGATTTGACAAGTTGCAGATTTCAAAAAAGTCACGCGTACTGTACACCCCTGGCGTCTGCAGCTCGTCGCTGCTACATGTGCCTCTACGCAGCCTCAAAACAACGTAGTCTTACATGACCTTATTTGATGTAGTGTGCTGAGGACTCAGATGCCGAAATCTTCACCCAGCCATCCTTTGTCTTGACCATCTTAAAGTCTCCATCTGGGTCCTTTAGAACCTTCTTCTCACCTTTCCAGCCCCGTTTAGGACCCTTGTTGCTTTTTGGGCCTCGTTCCCAGGGTGGTTGAAACTCCATTGCCAGGTAAGTTGGAGCTCGTTTCCCAGACGGTGTCATCCGCGTTCACTTGGTATCTTGGCATTCTGGCAATGCGCCCGCAAGATTCGCCATCTTCGAATATCTCCGAGGCACCACTGAAGTCTCGGTGTTTGAGAGACAGCGGCCATCGGCATTCTTGCGATTCAACAGAGTATGTTTGTTGCTAGATGTTGCCAGCAAACTCTTAATTAACCCAGCTTTGCCAACAGCAGGTTCCAAGGTTCCAAGGTTCCAAGGCCAAGGTTGCCATGCTACCGGGCAAGATTCTAAGGTTGCAGGGTTCCAGCATTCCAAGGTTGAGTTCCAACATTGCAGAGTTCTAGATTACCAGAATTCCAAGTTCCCAGGGTTCCAGGGTTCAAGGTTCCAAGCATCAAGGTTCTAGACTTTCAAGGGTCTTGGCTTGATTCAGCAACAACTAGGAAAGGACATGAAAGGACCAGAGGCATGCAAAGCAAACGCATAACAATATATAGAGTTGCTTCAATTATTGATCTTGAAAACATGACTATAAAAACATATAAAAACAGGTGCGCTGTTGGGAAAATTCAGCAAAAAAATCCTGCAACGGCTCCAGCAAAAGGTTTCTGCAAGGCTCAGAGGTAAGGATTCCAGCACCACAGTTTCAGAAAGGGATCGCCGTCTTCAATTTTCGCCCTGCTCCCCCCAACCTGAGACAGCCCAGCACATTGAGCAGCGCGGGAAACAATTCAAAAGAAAAATATAAACAAAACAAACCCCTGAGAAAATTCAGAAGTTGTCTTCATATAGGTTCCGGCAAGGCTGCAAACGGGCTCCAGCAAAGTTCAAGCCAGATTTCCAACATCACAACCCGGCACATTAACCAAAGCAAGACAGAATAAACAAAAACAAGAACCACACCTGCAAGGGTTTCAACAGAGATTCCAGCAAGGGGTTCCTGCAAAGTTGCAGCAAATTTCCCGCAAGGTTCCAGCACAGTTCCAGCAAGTTTCCGAGAGTGTTTCAGCAGGGTTCCAGAACGGTTTCGGCAGGGTTCCAGAAGGGTTCCAACAGTGTTCCGGTTTTCCGGGCCATGCATTTTCCTGGCACCACTCCCCACCCCACAGATTAAAACCCAACAGAATCGCTGTTGGGAATTAGCAACCCTAACGCGTGACAATCAAGCACAACTCTTCCTAAGGGTCAAAACACCATCATCACGACAGCATTGAGACTCAGGCAGCCCGAACCCACCGAGTGTAGATACACCTGCAGAACTGAAAAGTTGCAGAAAAATCACTGGTAGTGTTTTGCAAGGCTACTGTGCACACACACACACATCTTGACATGCTTATCTGTATTAATTATTACCTGAATGTACCCATGCGCCCACTTTATACAAATATCTCGAGATACCCATGTCACCAAAATAGAGGATATATCTAATGCTAGCCAGCGGCAAGGCCATGGCAAAAATGCTGAGGACCTCAGCGACTTCATACGCTTTAGCCACTTGCACAGAGGAGTGCGCAGCGTGGCCAAATTCAAGGAGAAGCCGAATCTTTGGGGTAGGTAGATTATGGTAGATTATGCAGTCTTGGAATTGGCTTTATGGAGTTTCGCGAACTTGGGAGCAAACGGAGTAGGCAAAGACTGCCCATGCTGCACCAAGCTCCTTGAATGCTCAAGCAGTCATTTTCCAGCCAAACTGTAACAGCATGGTACAAGAGTGCGAAACTGTATTGCTGAGCGGTCTATCCACAGTCCCATGGTTCACTCACAAAAGATGGCTCGGTCGCCAGTCTTCAAACTTCAAATTCAAGGTCTGCAATCTTTGGCCATCAACACATGCAAGCGAGTGACGAAAAATCGCTTTTGCAATGGATATGGTGGTGTTTGCAGTAGCCACCAGCAAAAGAGATTCCAGCTGAGATAACCTGATGTATCGCCAAATGACATGCAGAAAGCGAGGAAACTGTTCTTAGTTCTAAGTTAGATACCTCTGATATTAGTCTCATATTAGTCTCATATTGCTTTAGACTGGCATAGCATCATTGCAATTAGTGTCTTCTGGTGCCAGATGTTGTAAACCCACCGTGCAGTTCCGTGCAGCAAAATCAGTAAATGGAAACAAGTTGACTTCAAGTTGACTCAATTGCATCTTGGTAACACCATGCAAAGCACAACGTCGTATTGATTTCCATATCAGCTGGTCCCAGCGAATGTTGTGCAACCATCATATCCACGACCTAAGCGTGAAGACACAGCATACGAGATCTCAGTCGCATTTGCCTAACATGTTCTGTCGATTTCTGTCATGTTGTGCTCCTCTTTGATCCTGGTGTCCAACCCGGGTTCCCAACCAGCAACAACGGGCACAGCGTGTGGATGTATTGCATGAATAGCCTCCATGGTGCGAGGTATACAATCCGGGTTGTTCCTATCCCATCCAATGGCAGTGAGCTTCTCTAACCTGAAGGGTGTTTGCCAGCGGCACGCAGGCTCAGGATCGGTAGGTCCAAACATGGCCTTGGACACATTCAGATCTCACAAACCATTTCAAACCATTCTCTTTGAAGTCTGTGTCATGTTCACATATGTTCACCTGATCTTTTCAAAGCTGCTGCCCGGCCACTCCAAAAAGGAGGTGCTGCTTGAAATCTGGGCAAAGCCTTGGAAATCCAGAGCTTTTTCAGAAGTGAAAGCAACGAGCTGTTCATCACTTCTGGATACTTCTGGCTGCTACTGAAAAACTGACCACATCATACGAATTTCCCATCAAGAGAAATCAAAAGCGACCAAAGCTAAACAAACTTGAATTACCTTGCCTGGAGTTGTGTATTGACCGATACACGACCATGACGACTATGCATTGCATGTTTTGCTTGTAGCTTCACAAGTTTGACTTGAGGAAGGTTTTGCCCTGTCTTTTAAAAGTCAATCAATCAAAATGGACAAGCAGAGTTCCGAGATTAGAGAAAGTGAAAGGCCTGAGTGGAGCGCTGGTATCGAGGCGGCAAAATCACATCCACTGGAGCCATCAGTGCAGGGTCGATTAAAGCACTTCCCCAGAACACAAAGGCAACCTAAGCTGGGAGGTTGCTACAGTTTGCAACAGGGCTCGGTCAGCCACTACAATGTCCACCGTTTTTTGCTATCAATGGCAGAAGAGCGTGAACGCAGGGGTGGAAAAAGATGCAAAAAGTACAGTAGCTGTCAGTAGCTAGTTCAGAAAGGAAAAGATATGAAAAGATGGCCAACACATTCTGAGTCCGGCTCAAAAAGGCCAACGGAAGTTGCAACCACAAAATACCTCAGTTGAAGCAAATGCAATAAAAAAGGTCGCCCAGTGGCACTAGTGGCCTGTCCCACTCAGCAAATCGTAGCTCCTGGCAACTCGAGCCAGTCGTTTGAGCCGGTGGATGCCTCAGGTCCCCGTGTGATGTCGTTTTACGTGGCTGTGCAGCTTGTGTTTTGGACCTTTTGGAATTGCATCATCAGATCTGCACCTTTAGCAGTCCACACTCACGCAAGACTGCACACGCCTTAGCTGATGAAAAAGTCTACTTCGACAGTTCTGCATGACTAGTCGATTGCATTCGATTTTTCCATGTTTTTTCCCAAAGGCAAAACAGCGCTGATTCAGATGCTGGCAAAATATCCACTGGTCAACTCATGTGACACAATGGTGAGGTGCGCAAACTGGCTCACAAAGCTCAGCCTCAAACACTGAGGGACGTGTGGCATGTCTTCCACAACCATTGAAAAAAGTTTGGATGACAGAGTCAAAAACAATGTCAAAAATTGGTCTGTATACAGTATAATTACATCACGTTGAGGTTGATAGGAAGGAAAAGCCCAGTGACAAGTGTGGAATTTCTGCCTTGCGTACTGCTAACGCTCTTGAATCTGCCGACCCCAGCGAGCAGCAAGGGGGAGCGCGTCAGAGGAAAACTACCGAAGGGCACTGTCCGGCCAGGCTGCAACAGCTGCAGCAGCAGCACTTTTATCAAGCAAGGTCGCTGCAATTAGAGATATGCAAAAAGCAACGTTAGGCACTAGTGGCCGCTGGCTGCGGGCTTCATCCTTCAGAGGCATTCTTTTTTGGTGTGGCGAGGGCAGCGCTTTTGTGGTCTGGGAGCTGCCTTCGCTGGCATTCTGTTTGGGGGCTGCATTTTCTTATCCTCCGCCTGTTTTTCACTGACGCAGCTTTTCGTTGCAGCGAGGGCGTGAGCTGCACTTTGGAGCTAAGTTTATGATGAAAAAAATGGGTTGCAATGCTGTGGACTCCGCGCCAAACTATTCCCGTGAACAAATGTTGCATGATGTTCCATGCACTCATGCACCTTCATTTGCTGTTTGTCCAGTTTCAAATCAAACAAATGATTTGGCAACACATGTTGTTTTCCAGGCAACACATGAAACAGTGTCTCCATGACTCCGGTGCAACTCTATGCAATGTCCTGTTTCCATTTCTATCCAGTCTAAGTTCAAACACATCCTCTTCAAAATTGGGGTGACGGTGGCAACTACATATTTGTTTAGCACTTACATGTTTCTCCTACTGCTTTGGTCCGGTTTCATGTCAGAAGCGGACCTACACGACTCTCTTGCCAAAAATCAGGCCATATGCTGTCACCCATCAGAAAACATAAAGGGGTCACATAAATTCATGCCATTGGCAATTGTTCTTAACTTCTTTTCTGTCTCATCGTTTTTGCTCTCCAGCTCCTTCCAGGGGGCGGCAGCCCTTGAATAAATGAAACCTGCCAAGCTGCAGTCGTTTCGGTAGCGGCAATGCCACCTGCAAATCAGCACAGATGAATCTGGGCAGCTCAGAGTGTTCAAAGACAATGCGGCAATGCTTGTTCAAAGTGTTTTATGGGAGTCTTCCGGCTTTGCCCGCCTTGTCTTCCACATATTTAACCTTCTCAGGGCTAGAATGGAAAAAAGACCTGGGAGAGTGATGAAAACCCATTTTGACAATGCAAAAGGAATAGTGTTGCACTGGTCTGGTGAAAGACTGGGTCTGAGTAGAGTCTGAGTCAACGACAAGATGGCGCAAGGCACAGTCAAGATCGCAGCGATTCCCCGAAAGACTTGCACCAGCGCCATACAGCCAGCGGTATGAAATGTGTCCGATATTGAAACTGCTAGCGGAAGTGCGTCGTTGCTTGCCGTGCCGCACTCATCACATTCTTGGCCTCTGTGAAAGTTTTCTGGCTCATATGTGTTGGTGTTTCCGTAAACGGCTAGCTGACATATATAAAGCAGAGCTAGATCCCTTTCTGGGCTATGCACGAGCAAGTAGGTGAATAGTGTTGGCTCTTGTGCTTGGCATGTAACTATATGTAACTACCTTTATATACAGATAGATAGATCACATCCATTTTCTCTGCATTTACATACATTGCCTTGTTCCTCAACATGCTTTGCTACCCGCTACCGGTCCACTTAGGAAGCCTCTGCCTAAAAGAGAAAATTGTTTCGACTACACCATTGAGATCAAACGCCATACCGTGGAAACGGCACACTAAAGTGCCAAAAGGTGCCAAGTAGTCACAGAGGTCTTTGGCTGCATACTTGGATGCATGCAAGATGAAGCACTATGAAAGCATCTGTTGGATGTCCAGACACTTTTCACTCCAGACTCAGAATTGCGCGCTGTTGAAACCAAAGGCATCACACAAGTTGTCGAGCCAGGCAAGACTTGCGTGATTTGTCAACAAATTGTTTCCGTTGAAATAAGAGCTTTGTCATATTGTGCACTCTTTCGCCTTATAAAGACCATTTCTTCACATTTGTCTAGCCGGCCGCAAAGTAGGACTTTGGATCTCACAGCATGGTCAGCTTCACCTTGCAAGTGAAAGCTTGAGCAGCGATATAAAGTTCTGCATGCACAGCATTTGTTAGCATTCAAAAAGCTGTCCACATACAGGGAACTGCACGCCAAGGTCAAAATTGCTGACGAGCAACTTGATGTGGGACGTTGAGCTTCATAATCTCAGCACGGCAAATTGCAAGTGCAGAACTGAGACTTGTCAAGCTCTTGACCGCTGCAGCTTTTCATGGTTGCAGAAGCAAGGATGTCAACAATGGCTTGTTACACTGCCCATAGTTGCCATCATTTGATATCGTTTGACTCTTGAATCTGTTGATTCTGGTCTGGATCAAAGATTGCCATACAATTCATACAATGGCAATGTGACAAATTTTGAATTGAGGACATATGAAATATGCGTCACAGTTGCACTGAGACTCTCGCGGCATCAAGACCACCCTCCTTGGGCGGGTAGTAGTCAATCTGCCTGGACAACTATGACATGACGTCACCGGCATGGCATGGCCACCAGATAGGTCAAAGCATCAACACAAGGACGCAAGACCACTGCTGCGATGTGTTGGATCTTTTCGAAAGCAAAACTGACTCACACCCAAAGTAGTGCTAGGAGCAGCTGGAAGCAGCTGGAGAAGTTTCGAAACGTTGAGAATTGGGCAGTTCTTGTGACACTTCCAACACCCTTTGAGTTGCTGGCCAGTGGTACTCAATGCGCGTCAACTTGTACTTTGCCTTCTTGTGACCCTTTGGACTCTTGTTGATGGACCTGCGGTCTCAGTACATCATGGGTTAAAAATTGTAGAGCACTAAGTTTGCTGGCAACTGCTGTGAATATTTGCAACTGTGTGTCCCACAGCTTCAGCATGCTTGGACTTAGCATTTCAGGACCTTCGACCTTGGTTGCAATGCAGTTGGAAAGTCAGGGCTCCAAATATGTTTCGCAAGAGCCACAAGAGCCACAAGAGCCAGGTGCTGAACCTCTCCACCAGTTTGCCTGGCCAATTCTTGAAAGCATTCGACCTCAGAATACAGCTACGGCTGGCAATGTGTGAAATGTTTTTGAAGCGCCCTGGCTTTCACACATCCCGAGTTTAGAAACTGCTATTTGTCTTCGTATCTTCGCGCTGCACAAGCCACAGGCAGTGTTGTGTATGTACCGTATATATCCGTATATTAAATACATGTCTCTATTCACGCATTGTGAAATTGGAGCAATACCACGGAACGCTTCAAGTTTCAAGGATTGTCTGCGGCTCACAGCCAAATAAGTTTGTTCCGCCATAGAGGAGGCGATAAGGACCGGACACACTCCTGCAAGTGCACAGGATGATACCTGGGCCAAAGTGTTCAAACGATCGCTGACTCAGTTTCCTGGTGCCAGGAAAGAGCATTGAAAATTATTTGGACTTAGTAAACGACGCGGACATCTTGATGCGAATGCGATCCTTTGTCACAGAGCATGAAAATGGTAGACATACCAGCGTGAGCGCTGACTTTGATGCTGGCTTGCACGACATAAATCGTCAAGAAGCTCAATACAATTCGAAACAGACTAGCAGTGACTAGCAAAGCCTCAAATACTCGAGCAGGACTCGAGCAGCAGCAGCCGTTTATCTGAAATTGGTTGTGTCATGCAACCGGTGAATTAGTCCTCAGGAGGTCGGCGCGCGCTGGGCGGGATCGGTTCTGGGGCCCACCTGCGTAGCAGACACCAACTTCACAAACCCAATCGGAAATATCTTTGAAAGGAAACTGATGGAATGATGAAAAGATGGAAAATGGCTACCCAAATGCAGTGCAAGTCAGTTGTTGTCCAACACGTGCCACCGACAGCGCCAACTTTTCAACCAAAGGATTTTCTGGACACGAGCGGTGCTGACACTTTGCCCAGCTACCGCGCGCCACCTGACCTGCAAGGGATTCAGAAACAAGTGCATGCAGATTGCAAATCTCCAGAGCGCTGACTGATTCCCAAGTGCAAAAGCAAAGGGAAAAAGACAGTGCAATGACGCTCGCCTAACATTCACCTCATCAAGAGAAGTCGTACTCGCCAGCCAATTGCCTTTTGGTGACAGGGAAGTCTTCACCCCTCTACCGAGCACAATGCTGAGGCACAAGTCACTGGAGCAGTGGAACAGTAGCCAGAGTGCTGATAAGCTAGAAGAATTGAACTGATAGAGTGTTTGTGGAAACTAGACCTGGTGGCAAAACAAATCAAGGGCCTGAGCAGGCTCACCAGTTCCACCCACGGCTGTTTGTCCTCCGGCTCAAGTTCATAAGTTCTGTCAGACATATTTCCCAAAAGTTTCTTCTGTGGGGGGAATGATGGATTCCAAGAGTTTGTTTGATTGATTCTTCACCAATTTGCTTGCCCTGCTTGCCCTGCTTGCCCAATGCCTCCGCTCGTTTGGCATCGAGAACTTGCCGTGAATCAACAAAGAGCCAGTAGAGGAGCAAGCCTGAGAAGAAAGAGCCAATAAATAAAAGAGAAATAAGAAATATGAAATAAGAGCCTGATAGAAAGTGCACCGGACTCACTAGACAGGTCCTGACAGCAAACATCATGTCACTTCATGTATTGATCCGATTCTGGTGCTAAGATGCAGACGCAGCCGTGAGCCTCCCTCTCCTTTACTATGTACCAGGAACCTTCAGGGCAAGCCGCAAACGGAAACTTGGTCCTCCCCCCATCTTTTTGGTGTGCAAAGTCAAGGAAAACTAGAGCTAGATTGAAATGCAGTTTGAAACATGGCTAGAGTGCTTTCTGAGCTGAGCATACAGGATCCTTCGCTCCTTGAGACCGACTTAAAACAAGCTGCATCAACCTACTATCACACTATACTATACTTAAAGATGCAATTGCACCTTGTGAGTCGCAATACAGCAAGACTTCAACTTAAAAACAAAAAAAACTTACAGACTTTAACTCGGTTTCACCATGTTTCACCTGGGTTGAAAAACATCTTAACTACGCGTGGTGGCCTTCTGCAGCGCTGCTGAAAGTTCTCGATTAGATCCCATGCCTGACATCCGAGGAGGCAGAGAGACTGAGATGTGCTCTATGTGGTCCTGGATTAGTGGATCCTTTCAGGTCAAAGGAAGATTTTCATATCACGCGGTTCCTTTGAGGTTGTGCCCCCTTGCGACCGGAAGCTCCTGCCCTTTTGATGTGGCTTGCCAAGAAGGCCTTCTGAGAGAACTTGTGTTGGCATATTGTACAGCCAATTCACTTGTTGAGTGCTTATAGGGGAAACGTGAGCATGTGCATACATTGAACTGTGTGTATGTTTCGACACCCACATCAGGTTCGTGATAAAAGGACTAAATACATTCTGTTGCACTCGTTTGTGGACTCAACATATATTTATGTGTATACATATACGTTTGCTGTATTCCAGAGGCTGAACAGGTGGTGCCAGCCATCCAAATTCTGTACGAGTACCATTTGTCTAGTCTAGTAATTCGTCGGCTTGTTTATTTTCTCATTTAGTTGTGTTGCCTTGGTTGATGTTGATGCCAACCTGCGCCTAGAGCAACCCCAAAGAATGAACAATGCGAACAATGCACTTGTGAATGCGAAAAAATGAGATAGAATGAGAACACTCATAACTTGAGAGGGAAGGGTGAAAGATCGAAAGGTAGGCGTGGGTTGGAACAGGAGAAGAGAGCAAGGGAACGAGGCATATCCGCTGCGGACGGACGTGGGTGGAGTTGGGGCGGATATCGAAAAAAGTCTTCTGGGCTTGGACTCGAGGGCGGGTACCAAAAAGGTAGGTTTCAGGGAGGGGGACACGACACACACACAGACACACAGACATATATATATATATATATAAATACATACATATAGTTAGATATATGTATAAATATCAGGTTATGGGGTTTGCGAGGCAACGTGTAACTGGGGGCAGCACATTGTTGCAACGCGGATGGGGTTGATTCTGGTGGGTACATGTGTAGAACAGTGTGGGATTCACAAACGTGGTGTTTTGACCCCAGCATGTACCCAAAGCAACTGACTTAGGGCTATCCTGGTGCTGGAATCTTGGTGCAAAAAGTGGGCCCGCGGGGTGACTTCTTGCAAACGCGGCTTTAGAGGCGGACCTTGGGGGAATCGAAGGGGGGGGTTCAATATAGTTGTGATAATTATGTTCTAGTTATTATAGTAATTCTAGTCATTATAGGTGTTCTAGTTATTATACATGATAACTATATATATACGAATATACATATATATGAAACATATTGAAATGTCATTAGCGAAGTCTTTTGGTTGAAGAGAATATCTTGGAGGAACCCTTGCGGAAAATCCACAAAATGATCTAGATATGCTGAGCAAGGGGCAGCGATTATGCTTCGGCAACCACTAGCCAAAGCGCAATATCCCACAATTGCTGGGTAGAGTATGCATATATATATATATATATACGAATCTATATGTATATTGAGATTATTTAGTATATATATATATATCATGGAATTATTATGTGTATATATATATATAGATACATATCTTTAACTATATTGTCGAAGGAAGTTGAGAAGCTAAACTTCCGACAATATGGACAGATGAAAAGCAGAGCAGGGCAGAGGCAGAGAGAAGAGAAAGTTCAGAAGAGAAAGAGTCAGAAGAAAGAAGATGCAGATGCGCGAAAAGGTAGGAAAGTCGCGATTCACTGTGTTTTTCCAATGATTTGTGGTTCCGGAGGGTCGAAAAGTAGGCTCGCTAAAGCGGCGGGTGCGGAGACATATGGGGAGCTGAGACATGAAAAATTGCACGCCGTTGTGGCGCGAAAACACCAGAGGATCGGACCACTTTTGGCGCTTCAGATGTCGAAAAAGTGCACGCCGTTGTGGCGCGAAGCACATCCCCAAGTCAAAATGTACAAAACACACCAGGGTCTGACCACTTTTGGAAGTTGCGTTGTCGAAAAAGTGCACACCGTTGTGGCGCGAAGCACATGTCCAAGTCAAAAATGTGAAACAACACCAAAGTTCGGACCACTTTTCGTTTTGGCACTTAGATGATCGAACAGTGCACGCCGTTGTGGCGTCAGAAGCACATTTTCCAAAGTCAAATGTTAAAAACACTAGGGTTCGTGACCACTTTATGGGAGCTCAAGGTCGAGTTCGAAAAAAGTGCACGCCGTTGTGGCCACAAGCACATTCGAAAGTCAAAAAATGTGCAAACAACCAGGGTTCGAACCACACTTTTGGAGGCTCAGAGGTCGAGTTTCTCGAAAAAGTGCACACAGCCGCTGTGGCGCGAAGCACAATTATACGAAGTCAAATGTTACAAACCACACCAGTAAAGATTCACCTTTAAAACACTAGGGTTTCGGACCACTTTTGGCGGTTCAGATGTTGCTTCGCTTAACTCGACTACACTACATGACACTACACTTTGCTGCACTACACTACATTACACTACATTACATTACACTACACTTCACAACACTACAGGTTACAACTACAACTACACAACTACAGTCCACTACAGTCCACTACACTAAATTACACTGCACTACCCTCTCTACACTACACTTCACTACATTACACTACACTACACTCCACTACACTACAAATACAACTACACCTACCCAACTACACTCCACTACACTCCACTACACAACATTAAACTACACTACACTACCTTACACTACACTACACTCCACAACACTTCAACTAAAACTACACAACTACACTCCACTACACTACACTACCTTACACTACACTACATTACACTACACTAGACTCCCCTACACTACACTACATTACACTACACTACACTACCTGCCGCTACACTTCACGACACTACTCTACACTACACTCCACTACCACCTACAACTACAACTACATTCCACTACATTACACTACATTACACTACACTACATTACACTGAATGACACTGCACAAAAGATAGACAGGTAGACAGCTAGACAGATAGATGGATAAGATAGATAGATAGATAGATAGATAGATAGGTAGATAGATAGATAGACAGACAGACAGATAGATAGATAGATATGATAGATATGATAGATATGATAGATATGATAGATAGGATAGATAGGATAGATAGGATAGATAGGATAGATAGGATAGATAGGATAGATAGGATAGATAGGATAGATAGGATAGATAGGATAGCTAGGATAGCTAGGATAGCTAGGATAGATAGGATAGATAGGATAGATAGGATAGATAGGATAGATAGGATAGATAGGATAGATAGGATAGATAGGATAGATAGGATAGATAGATAGATAGGATAGATAGGATAGATAGGATAGATAGGATAGATAGGATAGATAGGATAGATAGGATAGATAGGATAGATAGGATAGATAGGATAGATAGGATAGATAGGATAGATAGGATAGATAGGATAGATAGGATAGATAGATAGTAGGATAGATAGGATAGATAGGATAGATAGGATAGATAGATAGATAGGATAGATAGGATAGATAGGATAGATAGGATAGATAGGATAGATAGGATAGATAGGATAGATAGGATAGATAGGATAGATAGGATAGATATGATAGATAGATAGATAGATAGATATGATAGATAGATAGATTAGATAGATAGATAGATAGAGGGATAGAGGGATAGAGGGAGAGGGATAGATCGATAGATCGATAGATCGATAGATCGATAGATCGATAGATCGATAGATCGATAGATCGATAGATCGATAGATCGATAGGATAGATCGATAGATAGATGGATAGATGGATGGATAGATGGATAGATGGATAGATGGATAGATGGATAGATGGATAGATGGATAGATGGATAGATGGATAGATGGATAGATGGATAGATGGAGAGATGGATAGATGGATAGATGGATAGATGGATAGATGGATAGATGGATAGATGGATAGATAGATAGATAGATAGATAGATATGATAGATAGATAGACAGGTAGACAAGAGTGAGAGAGATCAATCGCCTTTCAGTCCAGCAGTGGCTTCGCTCTGCCATCTCTGATTCACAACAACCAATCTCTCCTATAGGTTTCCTATTTTTGAAACTTCCGCCACCGCCTTGTGCGGTACTACTGGTATATCATGTACGATTTTTGAGACTACTGCAACGCAGTCCGTCGCAACGTTCTTGCTACGACATTGTTCATCGCGGTTGTTAGGGTGAACGAAACAAAGTTCTTGAGCAATCTGACATTGTCGAGTTTCAGTGCGGGTCTTGACTTCGGTTGGGGTGGGGATGTATGTAAACGTGGTGGATGAAAGTGCATGTGCGGCTGTTGGCGTTTCCTTGTAGTCCGCCTATGTTGCAAACCCGGCTTTAGAGGCGGACCTGGGGGGAATCGAAGGGTGGGGGGGGGGCCCCCCCCCCTTGAAAGGCGGACCGAGACATAACCGGCCCAAACTCTTGCACTTGCACCGCTCGCCCCCTAATACTTGCTACGCAAGGGGGAACTCAGGTAGCTCACCGCTACCTTTCGAGAAAAGCGCGGCCAATCCTCCACGCTTTCTTCGCAAACACACCAAAGTCCAGTGATGAGACCGTCGTTGCCGAGGAGGTTATCGAGCCTTTGCACTGAGTACAATGGGTTTTCTGTACGCAGACATCCGGAGCACCTGTGGAGCACAGCAATCACTTGAAATGATCAAAGATGTAGTCCTGGGTAACTAAGCGCCAGGCATCTCCGGGAGCCATTTATCCTTACGGGTACCATTCAAGCAACGAGCGACGAGTGCGCAACTTGTCCGTTCCCCAGTCATGCGATTGTTTTTTTCTACATTCATCAGAGAGAATCGAACATTATACGGGGCATATACCATCATATACCTATATGACATCTCTAGTGACCCTTTTGTAACCACATCTTACTGGAACTGTTCCCCGTGGCCGAGACAATTCGCAATTTCAAGACGTTAACCATTAGGACCGAGCCACTGCTGCCTCTGCCTGCACGCAGTGCACGCAGTGGAGTGTTTCACGACAGTTCACTTCGTTTTCTGGCAGGATGCAATGCATTCCATGACAGTCTCAGCAGCTCCTTGCCCGGCACGTAGGTGTTCTTCAGCTGTGGACTTATCTGCCGTAAGACTTGGTGCCTTGGTTTTTCAATTTGATTCGACTTCCAGCAGATGCGGCTGACTTTGAGTTTTGCATCTGAGTTTCATGCAAGTCAGCGAGCTGTTGGCTCACGGCCTTGACACCCTTGTGCAGCTCCTGTGAGGTGCAGAACACCAACTGTGTCAATAGCTGGGCTCAAGGCTCTCAGGGGGCTCAACGTTTACAACCAAATTCAGTGGAGAACAAAATAGGGTGAAGAATGATGTTTGTTTTGTTTTGGATTCTTTCTTGGTGCCATTTGCCATGTATTTGCAACAGTTTAAAACTAGAACCTGTCATTTTGCATGGTATTTGCTACATTTTGCCATGGTCACCTTCCATTTTGCACGGTATTTGCCAATTCTTGGAACTTCAACCTCTCATTTGCATGATATTTGCTACATGTTGGTACTTCAAACGTTCATGTCATGTGGGTTTCTTTAGGGCTTCTTTATGGTTTCGTTTAGGGTTTCTTTTGGGTTTCATTTAGAGTTTCTTTGGGGGTTCATTTAGGATTTCATTTCGGGTTTCTATAGGGTGTCGCTTGGGTTTCTTTAGGCTGTCATTTAAGGTATCTTTAGGGTTGCATTTAGGGTTTCCTTTAGGGTTTCTTTGGGGTTTCTTTAGGGTTTCATTTAGGGTTTTCTTTAGGGTTTCATTTAGGGTTTCCTTTAGGGTTTCTTTGGGGTTTCTTTAGGGTTTCATTTAGGGTTTCCTTTAGGGTTTCATTTAGGGTTTCTGTAGGGTTTCATTTAGGGTTTCTGTAGGGTTTCATTTTGTGTTTCTTTAGGGTTTTATTTAGGGTATCTTTAAGGTTTCATTTAGGGTTTCATTTATGCTTTCATTTATGTTTTCTTTAGGGTTTGATTTAGGGTTTCTTTAAGGTTTCATTTAAGGTTTCCTTTAGGGTTTCTTTAGGGTGTCTTTAGGGTTTCATTTAGGGTTTCATTTAGGGCTTCCTTTGGGGTTTCATTTAGGGTTTCTGTAGGGTTTCATTTAGGGTTTCTGTAGGGTTTCATTTATTTATATAGGGTTTCTTTAGGGTCTCATGTAGGGTTTCTTGTCAGGGTTTCTTATCAGGATTTCTGTGGGTGTCTAGGGTCTCTCTAGGGTTTCATTTAGGATACAAACAGGAGAGAATAAAGCAGAAGAAAATGAAAAACAAAGAGACAGTAAAGAAAGGAAGCAGAGAAGCAGAACAGCAGGAAGTAGAGCAGCAAAAACACATGACTGAAGAAAAGAAAAAGTAGAAGTAGTAGAAAGGCACAGAAGCAGAAAAGCAGAAAAGCAGGAAAAACAAAAGCGGTAAAAGCAGAGAAGCAGAAAAGAGAAAGGCACAGAAGCAGACAAGCACAAAAGCAGGGAAGCAGGAAAAGCAAAAAGCGGAAAAGCAGAAAAGAGAGAAGCAAGAATATGCAGAAAAGCAGAAAAAGCAAAAAGCGGAAAAGCAGAGAAGCAGAAAAGCCAAGAAGCAGGAAAAGCACAAAAGCACGAAAAGCAGAAAAGCAGGAAAAGCAGAGCAGGAATCCACAAAAAAAACGAAACCTGGCCCCCCCCCCAAAAAAAAAAAATAGCCATCCATTAAAATATAAAAGTCTAAGACCTGAGAGATTTGAGTCGCCAATGCAGGTCCACCAGTAAAAATCACAGTCATATGTTTGGCGCGGGCAACGGCTCAAACATTCGCAAACTATGAGAGTTTCATGCCTCCTGATTCTGTATGTTTTGGAAGTTTCGAGAGATTTTTCGAGTGTGTCGAGTTTTGTTGGCACATCAACCCCGGACCTCAAGGCGTGCCCGGCTCCGTCGTGCCCCACCAGACGCGACGAGGCAAACCACAGCCACTGAACTGAGGAGTGGCATGACCTGATGGCAGATTAGCCAAGACATGTGAGATGTATTGCCATCCCAGGATACTCTTTGCAGACAGACCTATTTGGCCCATTCTTGGCCCACTTGGTATTCGTGCCATACTCGCCATTGATAGAATCATGCAGGCATGCATGTTTTCAACGAAAAATCATGCAGGTCTGTATTCTGCAGATTGACCTCGTTTCTGGGAACATCAGAGTTTGCAACCCAGTCTCCAATCTGTACAAGCAGGGGCTGTAATCTGATCTGAGCGCGCTGGCAGGCTTTGTCTTGTGGGAACGTAGGAGAGCCTGTCGACCAGAATTTTTCAAAAGTTCTCTGGAAGTTATTAAAAACAGGAAGAGAAAGTGTTCTTTACCCATGACGGATCCATGGTGCTGCTATATATGGTAACATGGATCCCATCAATATACCCCCAATGTTAGTATATATACGAGTACCATACATGGATCCTATGGGTTAGGGATGATCTGCAACAATCTGCAATGCGTATGTGTCGCCGAGACCTTGATAGAAACTGATATAGAAACCGGCCCGATAAACGTTGTCCCTCCCCCCGTCAAACCCTTCTGACCCTCTCTGCTGCGTGCAGCTGCTTGGCCAATTCTTCAAGTCTGAAACCACCTGAAAAACGCTTTACAAGACCAAAATTCTGATCGAATCTGAACTTGCAAAGAATTTTGTAAAGTCTCTGAATTCCCTGAGAGAAAAGCCTAGATCATCCGCCGCCTTGGCCCGCTGACCTTTGCCATTCCAGTTTTGCACAAGACTCTTCAATGCTTTTCGTGGCTCTGTGATGTCTGGTCGCGCTTCAAAAGAGCAAACCTTGCAACAAACAGTGCCGTTACTCGCTTGCCCTGGAGAGACGGCGAGGCGAGAGAGAGATAGAGTCAGATAGAGAGACAGAAAAAAATGCATATATCATATATCTATGTAATATTATTTGTATCTATTTGTAATGATCTAATGTTACACTCAGAACATCTGGGACCAGAGACCTTCATCCCTAAGCTCCATGCAGTGCACTCGCAACAGAGCTTCACAGGTCAGTTCAACCAGACGTTGAGAGGAGTACTCACCACTCATCCTCGTGTCAAGCAGTCAAACAAAGTCAAGCACGTCGTAAGATCTACTGAGGCTCAAGCAGTTCTGCTTTCAGTTTGAGCACACTTTCCCTCAAAAAATCCATTAGATTTCAGGCACCAGCTCAAGCCAGGTAGCAGCTTCTGCACTCTTACTGGATGGCCAAGTTGCTGCGTTGCTGAATAAGCAGCCTTGCGTCTCTTTCCATGCCGGCCTGCAAAGTTCAGACACAATTCAAGTTGGATGCCTCTGTTGATAAAACAGACTGACTGCACCGGAGCCGAAAAAAGACAAGGTCCAACCATTGGAGCCCTGGTAAGCTTTCCGAAGTGGAAGCATTAACTTAACGGACACATCATTTTCATTCGAATGGATTCGAACACTTCGAACATACTCAAGACTCTTCAAGACACATGGGTGTGCCATGGTGTGCCTTCAGAAGATACAGCCGCAGCATTTGCCGCGAGTGCCTCTGAGCAAGCCTTCAGAGGAGAGAAATGCTAAAATTGCGAGTGCATGATTTGTCATAGCTTTCATTGCGGGTGCGGTTGGTGTCGCACAATTTGATGCCGTTAGGGATCATTCATTGAACAAATAATGGGTTCCTCTCACTTCAAAGTGGAACGATTCACCTGCTATTCTACAGATCCAACAAGTCGCCTGGCCAAAAACAAAAAAAACTGAGAAGTCCGCCTTGATGGTCTCTTGTTGAGCTGCGCCCAACCGCATCCTCGGGGCTCAGGCTTGACAGGGTAAAGATGAGTTACCCCGTGTAAAGTCGGATGTGTCAATGTACCCTCTGGTAATTTAACATAGCCATGGAAAATGACCATTTATACTGGATTTTCCCATTAAAAATGGTGATTTTCCATGGCTATGTTAGTCATAACCAGAGGGTATATGTCAGGACTCTGTGAAAGCTGTACAGCTTGGCAAAGTTTAGAACGACCAACGAACATCGAATGTCCGATCCATTCATCGAAAATCTGATCTTAAGAAAGTGCTCAAGGTGCATAGAATGCATCGCTGCTTAAACACCCAACAAGGACAACCACGTTTTTTCAAAAACATGGGCACCGCACTCTTCCTCCGCAAGAGCAGCTACACACCAGCTTGTGTGCAAGTCCCTGCGCGTGCTGGGCTTGACAGGTTTTGAATAAGTTGAAAGCACCAGCTATCTGAGAAGGACAAAGTTACTTATTGGAGGGACCGTTTTCAGAGCCAGATTTCTGCTATGCTGCTACATATTCCAGCATCATCTGGAGTACGAAAATCTCCAGCGTGGTGGTTTTGGGAAAGAGCGCCCTGAGATTAGGTTTTTGCGGATGTGAATGTCATGGGGACAACCAGGGACAAACATGGGAAGTGCTGGCATGTCCTGGTTTATGTTCGATGATGTTTGACGCTGGAAGCCTACGACAACTAAACTGGCCAGGAATGAGCACTCTCTTTTCCTTCGGCTAATGCGGAACAGAAAAAGTTTACCAAATAATTCCTGAAAGATTAGGTGTAGCACAGTCTATGACAAATGAAACTTTGATGCCAGGTTTACCACATGTTGTTGCAGTCAGCGATGTTTGTGGTGCGTGCATGCATGCAATAGGCCTGATTCCTGATTGCCCGCCCTGATGAGCCTCAAGCTAATTCGATGCCGCAAGTTCTGCTTTGCCTTTGCCGCTGAATCGTAGAATATCTGCAGGGAACCAAAAACCGGTTCTATATTTAGAAAAGAACAAAATACTGTACTTTGTGTGATCCCCACCGAAATAGAGTGTGTGTATATATATATATATCCTTATATCCATTCTGACATGGATTATGAAATATCTTCAGACATTCCATACATTCGGACATATATTCCAAAGGTTATTCTGACATATCCTCTGACATCAAGTGTGACATGTAGTCTGACACATATTTTGGCATATCCAACAAGTTTCTTGAAAATCACTCTGGCATGTAGTCTGACATAGACATTTAGTCTGAGATGTAGTCTGATATATGCTCTGACATGTTGTCTGACATAGTCTCATAGTATAATCTATAAAAATATACAATATATTCTGGCATTTTATCTGGCAAGCTTCATGTGACATACGTTTGACATCCATTCTGATAGTTTCTCCAGTAACTGTCATGTCACATATAATGCTGACTTCCGAGATAATGCATGATATATACAATGTTCTGACGGATATCCTGAAATATGTTCGAATATTTATTCTGACACATTTTCTGGCATGTACTCTTGCATTTCTTCCGACAGGTGAAAGGTGCCTATAAAATCCCGCGCACAACTTGTGGCGCAAAGGACCAGTGCGTCGGTGCATGTGATCGGTATACTTGTCGGTCCGGTGCACACAGAGTCCGCGAGCTCGCCATGAGAGGAGGCAAGCGGAGGAGGGGAGGAAGATGAGGAGCAGAAGACGGAAGAAGAGCTGACACAAAGTCTAAAGACTCTAAAGACCCTCATGGAAGACATTGTCTTGGGCGGCTGAGTCGACACAAAAGTTAAAAGCAGTTTGGTTGCCTTCTAGGCTCATCACCCATTTCCTTTCAAGACTTTTGGGTGACTAGGCAGACTGTAGCAACTGGATTCAAGTGGCAACTCCCAATCTGAGCTCGCCGCATTCTCAAGCCTTGGCATGTTAGACAACAATTCCTAAACTAAGAGCCACTTGACAGCTATGTCATGCCTATGTGATCTTGGACACGTGAATGAGGTCAATGCTCAACGATTCGCTGGTTGGCCTAACAAACACATGTGAATCGTGGATGTCATGGATGTCATGGATGTCATGGATGTCATGGATGTCATGGATGTCATGGATGTCATGGTGCTACAGTCTTGTTGTGGATACTCACCAGCCGCGGCTAGTCATGATAACAAGTCTCCTGTCCTGTGTACCTTTTCAACACTACAACTGCTGCGTTTCTGCTTTCGCCTCACTGAGCTGCTTCTCCAAATCATTGGCTCGCAGCTGCATCCCCTGCTGAGACTCTTGACCTTCCAGGAGTTGGGCTGAGGCGATTGGCTGCAAAGAAAATAAAAACCTTGTGAAACGTCACAGTCCCCTGCTGAGCTTCCTGGCTTTGCCGTAGAGCATATCGTGCCTCACCAACAGGCAAAGCAAGCTTATGGTCCTATCATTGTTGATGTTGATTGTACATGCTATTTGCTAGGGTCTCCTTTTGGCTGCGACTCTTATTGCAGAGCCAAGTAGTTTTCCAGCCCACGACGTAATCCTTCTGTTGGCAGAGGTGGTTTGCCTGGGGTCCAAACCTGGGCAAGAAGCTGGCGGAAGTCTTCAGCCTCCATGCGTGCGACCTGTCAACATGACTGCGACAGCTGAAGGGTAAGAACTGCGACGAAGGCATGTGTGAACATGATGCGTTGTTATGCGTTGTTAAGAACTCGTGATAAACGAGAATGTTTGGTAAGCGCACGAGTGAGCGCAGTCTTTCATCTGATGTTTGAAAAGACGCACAAGTCACTGCGTTTGTGCAAAGAGCAGGGATGAACTGCGAATGTTCTGAACCTTCGCTTGGTCTACGCTTGATCACACATTAAGACACATTCAGTGTGGCTTTCCTGCAGACTTGTATCAACTCTTGCAACTTAGTGCAACTTAGTGCAACTTAGTTCAACCTAGTGCAACTTGCATCTGTCAAAATATTCGCCAAATTCCGGCACCTCAAGCTGGGATACTTCACAGTGGGTGGCCTTCCTCAGCCCAAAGGTAAGCCAGCTATAGCAGCTAAGCAATCGTGGAATCCAAATGAAATTCGAATGGAAGTCAGTAACTCACGGAGTATTTTCTGTAACGAGTTCTGGGAGCAAAACTGCTTTCGGAAAGCTACCTTCGTTCAGGCTTAAACTCAACTGCAGCTCTTCTTGGATGTGTTTCTGCCTCAATTTGAAAGCACTGGCAGTCTCTGGCACACCTTCTCTTCCTCAAATGCAGAAATGTCCTGACGGGATTCTGCGACAAATGTCACTGACATACCAAGCTCATCTAAGCGATCTGCAACATCTGTGGTTTGCCCATGCTTTCCAACTGCTCAGACTGCTCAGATCCTCGACCAACGCGTCCCTTTCAGCATGAAGCTCACGGACCTGACTCGCCAGCCTCAGCTTCGTTTACATGCAAACCAATCCCGAGAAGGGAGTCGTCACACCATGCAAGAGAATCAAGAGAATGAAGGATTCAAAAGGACTCAAAAAAACTAAAGATCATTGCTGGACCGTTCTCACATCAGAACCATCACTGGGTTCACCCAACTGCTGCCGCTTCTCACGGCCGTCTGCTGCTTCAGCCTCAAGCTCCGATTTGGCCTGTCATCTGGAGGACGTCTAATACGTCTAAAATGCGAAAACTGCGAGGCAAAAGGAATGCAAAAACATAATGCTGTGAAATGCTCAGCTGAGTCAACCTTGTTGAGGATCTCCTCTTTTCGCTTCAAGGCCTTCACTGTGGGAAGGGGATCATAAACAGCAATCATCAGCAATCTAGAATCTTTGGTAATATATCGTGTATATATACATACACAGTATAGTATAATATATATATAATTATATATATACACACATGTATAGCAATATCTATATCCCAATATCTATCCTAATATTGTATATATATATATCACAATATAGCGTAATAATATATCGTAATCACGCTTACTGGCCTGCCTGCTTGCCTGCAACAGAAATTAACCCAGGTTTGCAACCCAACAGCAGGTTCCAGGGTTCCAGGGTCCTGTTCCGTTTTTGGGCTCAGCAAAAAACAGGGACGAAATCTGGATTTCCGCACATGATAAAATGATATAGTATGTGTAAGTCTAAGTGTGACTTTTCTCGGGGCAAAGCTTTGCATCCTCAAGCAACTTGTCGCAAGCATGGGCAATCATAAAACAACAAAGATTTGCAAAAAAAAGTGCTCTGATCAAGCATGTTTGTTTGGTTCAACAATGTGTAACTCAAAAGTCTTGTGACAGTTGCGCAGTGCATCAATGCAGTGGCAGTGGGGTTCAATGTCTTGTGGAGGTTATGCAGCCCAAAAACACACTTAAAGCCCTGCTGTTTTGCAGTCTTCCTAAGTCCTGCTAGAAAAGTACCGTAACTTTAGTACCCTTGCTACGAGTATCCCTCCTGTGTCTCACGACAAAGTGCTGCCAACCAACAGCAGCTGCTTGGAGTTCATGCAAGCAAGAATACACAGGTGTACGGTGTATGTGTTGTCGGTGTCTGTGTGTTTGCATGTGTCCGGGCGCAGGCAGGTGGTGGGTGTTCTCTTGGTGGTACAAATATTGCTAGGCTTTGTTGCCTGCTTGAGCAGTTTCTTTGCTTGTCTTCCATCTCTCTTCTCTTCTCAGGTTTGTTTCCTCTCTTTTTCCCTTGTGCTCAGAGCTCAACAAAACCCTATGCATATGTGGGTTGTTCTTGCTCAGCCTCGTTTTGGCAGAGGCTTTCGAGTCTTGTTTTTGAGCAAGCTTCAGTGACTTCCACAAGTGCTCCACCATGGTTCATTGCAGCCTCTTCACGTTTGTCAATGAGTTTGAGCTGCTCCAAGTTCTCCTCAAGCCGTGGCAAGAGCCCCGTGGGTCACAAGTCTATGATGATTCACACTTTGACTGGGGTGACTAAGGGGCACAGAGGGCACATCAAAACCTCACACCTGCTGACGCCTGCTGAAAATGCCAAGAGTTGGACGCCATGGCATCACCAGGATGAAACTGGGTACAAAAATCCAGTACATAAAAGATATTGATTTGGGTGTGTCTGAAAATGTTGTGTACCCCTTTTTACCCAATGGTTTTGCTGATCATTATCCCTATTAAATGGCTATTTCATTGGGAATATACCCTATTTTCAGACAAACCCATTTGTCAAAACGTGTGGACAGAAGCTGTAGAAGTGGCATGTCCAGTCATACAGTAACATCCCGCTGACGGTGTTCCTGGTGCTGCTTCAGGAGCTCCTGACATGGCCGAAACATTTCTAAATGCAACGGTGAAACTGCAGCGTACATACAGCTCAGCTTGAGGGGTTATTCAAGATCTTGGCATGTTGCCACCGTTCTTTGGACTGATTTTGTCGGTCTGAATTTCTGATTCTCGGCAATGAAACCGTTTCCACATCTGTTTGCCTTCGTAAGCACACACGAGCCAAACAATCTAGCCTTGTTCTGCGACTCTCGCTCCCGCTCATGTCTGGACCTGCCATGCAAAGGCATCAACTCCAAGTGTGGTTCCGGACAGGTGTGAAAGAAAGAGAGACAGAGAGACAGAGAGACAGAGAGACAGAGAGACAGAGAGAGATAGAGAGAGCTAGAGAGCGAGCTAGAGAGCGAGCTAGAGAGCGAGCTAGAGAGCGAGCTAGAGAGCGAGCTGGAGAGCTAGCGAGCTAGAGAGCTAGAGAGCTAGAGAGCTAGAGAGCTAGAGAGCTAGAGAGCTAGAGAGCTAGAGAGCTAGAGAGCTAGAGAGCTAGAGAGATAGAGAGCTAGAGAGCTAGAGAGCTAGAGAGCCAGAGAGCCAGAGAGCTAGAGAGCTAGAGAGAGCTAGAGAGAGCTAGAGTGCTAGAGAGCTAGAGAGCTAGAGAGCTAGAGAGCTGGAGAGCTGGAGAGCCGGAGAGCTGGAGAGCTGGAGCTAGAGAGGTGGAGAGCTGGAGAGCTGGAGAGCTGGAGAGCTGGAGAGCCGGAGAGCTGGAGAGCTGGAGCTAGAGAGGTGGAGAGCTGGAGAGGGCGAGAGATCGAGAGGGCGAGAGAGCGAGAGAGCGAGAGAGCGAGAGAGCGAGAGAGCGAGAGAGCGAGAGAGCGAGAGAGCGAGAGAGCGAGAGAGCGAGAGAGGTAGAGCGAGCGAGAAGGAGAAGGAGAAGGAGAAGGAGAAGGAGCAGGAGAAGGAGAAGGAGAAGGAGAGGGAGAGGGAGACGGAGAGGGAGAGGGAAAGAGAGAGAGAGAGAGAGGGAGAGATGGGGAGATGGGGAGATGGGGAAACAGCGGGTGCTGCAGGAGAAGAGAATTACACACTGTGATCACTTTGTCTGGTGAATGACAAATCTGACCGAATATCATGCTGAATCAAGCTCAATGCCAGTTGTACTCGCGAACAGCATCCCTGTCCTGCACGCAGGGAAAGCACAAGTGACACCGCTCTCAATCGTCAACATGTAACATGAATAGCTCATGCGGTTCCACTGTGCCTTGAGCTCATTGATTCTCTGCTCCAAAGCAGCCTTTTCATGTTTCCGGTTTCAAAAGCAAGTGTAGTATATAATGGTTGAAAAGGAGTCCGCTGGAATCTCTGTAGAATCTGGTTGTTGAAGCTCCATTGCCTTTTCGTCCAGGAGTTCTTTGATACCTCAATCCATCCGTTATGTGGCTCAAAACTTTGTCTAGCCGCTTCCTCATGATATAAAAGGTGTCTCATTTCATGAGGGATTTCCGCCTTTCAAAGAACTTTAAAATTGTTTTAAATGACACAGCTGACCTGGAACAAACCGAACTCCACAGCAATTCATTTCAACTTCTCAAGATTGCCGCCATGCTGCGCTTACCGGCATCAGAGGTCGCAGATTGTGGCGGCATCGAGGAACAGCTGCCAATGCTATGCCAATGCTGTGCCAATGCATGCTCAGTTTGTGCTGGAGCGCTGTGTGTGTGTGTGCCAAGACATGTTCAAGTCACGGCCATGTCACTTTTTTGTCTCGTGCAAATCTGCATCAATGTTGAATACCAATGGCTTTCAAGCTCTATCCATTGCTGCCCTAAGGCAAAGAAGAAGACATCTTCTACCGACAAGATTTTCAGGATATGATCTGTCTAACTGTTTTAGGTCATGCCATTCTGTATGGCATTGTGCTGGATTTCAAGGTTGAAGAGACGGCCTACAGTCAGGAGTTCGGTACTTTGTCTCACAAATGCATTGGAAATGCTGTGTGCAAGCGGTGCTACCAAGCCGTTCAGAGCAAAGCGAAGCGAAAGCTGTGCCGCATGCAGAACCATTAGAATCAGCAGAGCTCAAAATGCACAGGGGCAGCCAGGGGAGCCGGGAGCTCACTGACGGACGAAAAGTTTCTTGAGAGCAAACTGTGTGATGGCGGAGTCTTCAC